GGGTGGACAAATTCAAATAAACTCTAGCTCACAAAGAGCCAAATGCCTAGTCAAAAATATCACTAGGATCCATTCTCAAACAATCTCTTGCCAGTAAGAACGTGGTATGTGTCCTCTAACCGGCGGTCTGCCGCCACATGGCACCGCAGAATAAATGGTTATAACGACCCGGGGCCCTCTGAACCGAGTGGTTTTGCCACCAAATGGCACCACGAAATACCGATTATGGCCAGCGCTGATACGCTCCTTATTGGCATCAAATCCTTGAGATATGAATCAATAGGATATGATCGATAGGGCACAAAGCCCTCTGTCAGCTAAGGTGGATTCAAATTTATCCCCTTAGACAAGCATTCAACCCCGGTCTACAAGGTCCCCTTGGACGAAGCAACCCATGGCTGCCGACAAGGATCCTTCTGTCAAGTTGGGTCGACTACATCCTCTGACTAAGTAGACTAAGGACCATGATGGCCCGGGACGACGGAACCATGGGATCTTGATCGGGTCCATCCATTCCCCCACCATCCACTTTAAGTGCAAGATGGTGCAATTTCCTATTTTAAATATCAAATATACCCAAATCCAAATCCAATTTCCAACATCTGAAATCCAATGATGCTACTATATGCCAGATGCACGTATTCTCTATACGTATCTGATTGACGACTAGCCTTAATCGAAAGTTCTCTCTCGTGATCGGGAGGGATAATTAACTATAGGGGCTTGCGCCTATAGGAAACCAGAACTCAGATCATAAAGTCCTCGCAAAATGAGGGCGAAATCTCTGAGTAGTGTCTTATCTACAAACCCATCTGCCTTCCAAAATTTATCCTGAAACTTATCAGTTAAAACTCCCTCGCCGAGAATAAAGCAAGAAATCGCGCGGCGGGGAGGCTGGGGCCGAATTTTCGGAGCCCACAACTGCAAAGGTGAACCGACATCTACTACACATTATTCATCGTCACCCGCAAGTAAATTATCATGTGCAAGACAAATCTTCTACATTTATTCGTAGGTGGGTTGGTTTATTTATTTGTGATCAAGTGACATTGATTGCATGAGAACTGCATTTGCTTCTGCCTTTCGAATACGCCTTTCGTCAACATTTTATTATATGTTGAACCCCTTTCCTGCATGCAGGTTGTCACATGATGTAGGTTTCATTTAACACTTCTTACAGACAAGTTTTATGTCTTGCATGTACATCCACCAATATTTTCTTGGATACACCCATAGGAAATGTTATTTCTTACACGTGAACTTACGTACATCTATAAACTTTTTCATGCATGTTGACTGTCGTCGTTCGCAAGGAACGTTATATCTGTCCACGAGTGTATTGACATTGATTGTTGAAGTATCATTGCATTCATTGCAACTCTTCTAACGTCGCTTATAGATACACTGTGTTCCTTGTATATGGCCATTGATAAGTCTTCATATTTATTGTAAGTGTATTATTGTCATTCGTAGGTGATCTATTTCATATGTATTGCAAGTCACTTGCTACTTGTCGATGTTTATGCATTGATTGATATGGTTGTCATAATCATTAAGAGTTTGCGTTGTTGCTTGTGAACAAGTCAACAAATCATGTCTATTTAGACTTCAGCACAAGTCCCCCATTTATTCATTGATTTTTTTATTCACATAATCAAGAACATTAATTAACATTTTTAATGTGAGTATGTATGCATTAAATTAAAGTCCATTTCCCTGTGCATTTTGTTCAAGTTTAAGTTCCTTGTAGTCCAAATCAAGTCCTCTATTAATTGTTCAAGTAAGGTCCTCTGTTTGTTATGAATTTCCAACAGCCTCCTGACGTCTCCCCTCTTTTAGGAGAAATTCGAGAGTCATGATATTTCCCTCCACGCTACGTGAGCGCTTCAGATAGATATCGGGTGGCACTGCGGCCGCATTTCTTCAATCCCACCACACTACGATAGCATGTATGGGCCTTCAAGGTACATGTTTAAAGACGCATAATTTTCTTTCCGCCGCCACGCTGCAAAAGCGCTGAAGGGTACTTAAAAGTGTCCCCACTATGCTACGAGAGAGTGTACAAGGCCTACCCGCCTCGCCAAAAACGTCGCACCGGGTTCCCTCCCACCATGCTATGTGAGTGCGTATTGGTCCCATTTAGTGGAGTTGAGGAACTAAATTGGTTCCTCCAAAGAGTTGAGGACCATTTAGTCCCTCACATACAGTTAAAGGATCATTTTGGTCCTTTTCTCCTAAAATATAGCATTAAATTGAAAACAAAATTACCAAATGCAAGCCAAGATTTTCATAGAAAAAGCTCCTATTTTCTTTTTTAGCTAATTCTTGTACTCCAATTAGATTCCACCTTGCAATTACATTTCATTTCTCAGTGTTTTCTCCCCAAAAAGTAAACAATCATTCTTGCTGTGGACAAACCAGGGAATGCATGAGCTACTAGGTAGAGATGGACAGAGAATTTGGAATGCAGCAATGGCTGCTTGAAAAACTGTTGGGGATGCCGCTTTGCTGTTGGATTTCTGCTGCTGGAGAATCATTTTTTCTTTAGGTGAGGTCCTATAACTGAAGAAGAAGCTGATCTTGCAACTACTGACGGAAAATAGAGGGAAGCAATGGTTGGAAGAGAAATTTTGGAGGATAAAAAAATGGAATTTCAATTTGTAGCAATACAAAACTAAAAATTCATTACAAACAGTCCTTAATCTTCTATTAATAGAAGTGGGATAGGAATCACCAAATTTAAATCAAAGTTTATCTAGAAGGGATAAGAATGATTAAAAATAATTATTATCCTTAAATTAAAGATATTAACCCTAAAATTTAGTTCCACATTTTAAAGAAAATAAAACTACATAAGAACGAAAGCAAATAAGCTTCCTAAATTTTAGGGATTGTGACAATAATTAAGAATGGGTAAATATCACTTAGATGAAGACCGAGGTCTCAAATAAAATTTTTCCATAAATCTCTCTCATAGACCTAAATTTAAGGATTATTTGTGCTGATTTCACCCATCTAAAAAATGCTCTTTGATGCATCAAAATCAATGCTCAAATCAAAAGGAGGTGGCCTTCCATAGTTCTATAACCTGACCAGCTTTGAATGGAAGTGATATTGCTGATTTCCTAAGTATGCTAGAGATCCACCCGGATCAACAATTGCCCTAACCAAATCCAACATGAAGCCAAAGAATTGAAAGATCCAAACTAGTGACAAGAAACAAAGCACTAAGATGATAAATCAAAGCAAATTAATGGGGGCTGGTTCTCCTAAATCATAGAATGAGTTCTTAACCATGGCCTACAACAACAACAACATCAAGCCTTATCCCACTATGTGGAGTCTACTACATAAATCCTTTTTCTCCATTGTGTCTGATTAAGAGCCAAATTCTCATTTAAATCTAATAAAGCAAGGTTATTTCTAATACTTTCTAACCAAATCTTTTTAGGTCTACCTATACCCCTCCTAATATAGGTCAGATATAATACATCTACTCTCCTAACCGGATCATTGGAAGGCCGACATTTTATGTGACCAACCCATTTAAAGCGACTCTCTATTCTTATTTATCGTTGGAGCTACTCCAACCTTTTCACGTATATACTCATTTCGCATATTGTCTCTAAGAGTAAAGCCACTCATCCACCTAAGCACCCTCATATTTGCAACACTTAGATTTATTCTTCTCTTTTAATGGAAACATTATGCATCATAAAACATTGTAGGTCTCACCACCAACCTATAGAATTTTTCCTTAAGTTTGAGGGATACTTTTCTATAACACAACAAGCTCGATGCATTCCTCCACTTCAACCAACCAACTTGAATTCTACTAATGATATCCCCATCTATTTCACCATCACTTTAAACAATAGACCCGAGATATCTAAAACGTGTACTCTTTTTAATGACTTGATTGCCCATAGTCATAATCCCCTAACTAGATCTATTACTACTAAAATTACAGTCTATGTATTCGGTTTTAGATCTACTCAAATGAAAACTTTTAGACTATGATTAACCTCCATAATTCTTAAGCATGGCCTAAACAAGCAACTTGTCAACTTTGAACAAATGACATATCAAGCTAATCGAAAATAAGTGTATGAAGGGTGATTAGTGCCGGAGTGCTAGGAGATAGTCTTTCACTTCGAGTGTCCTTTAACCCATCAACAGAAAAAGGAAAGGGAGCTGCTGGCCATTCAGAAGAACCAGAATAACAAAATAGCACAAGCTTGGTTCAGAATACTTGCATTTTGATTTCTTACAGAGTGGTAAACTAATCTACATCATGATTGGACATGATTATAATACCTTAAACAACTACTGATAATATGGAGGTTGAACGTATTGAAGAAAGAATAAGAAGAAGAAAAAAAACAGGGAAAAAATTGCTAATGCTTTAGAAATGAAACTTTAAAAAATGAACAAAAAGTTAAACTAACCAGGTTCAAATGGGAGCTACAAATGAGAGCCCGCAAGATACCATCATGATATTTCTTTGCTTTTTGAGTCATATGCGTTGTGTATAAGACATTCCATTCTACACATTGCTAAATCAAAGGGATAGATAAGAATGGTGAAGTGTATAAGTGACAGCAAGCTATTAGGAGTGTAGCTTTTACACTTTATAAAACGCAATAAGGAGATAGACATTAAATTATAATAAAAAATAACTATTTCAAAACCGACCACTATTAGTTTACTGAAACACTTACTTTGATTAAAATTTTGTTTGATCAAAAAAAGAGGCTTCCAATCAGTTCTAGTGAAGATTATAAAACTCTAAATGTATGTTCACCATAGTTGAGATCAAGAGTTAGTAGCGAATTCAAATGTCAAAACTAAAGAATAAGTGAGTCAAATAGTATAAAGAAACAATGTCATAGAATCATAAGTTTTTCATGTTGCCAACTGATCCCCAGGAGCAATGTTTCCAGATATAGCACGTTTTTAACAGACTTAGAAATTTTTAAGCATTTATTGAGACGCACATCTTTAACTGAAAGGAGGGACAGATACAAGGTATGGCTTCAAATAATATACTAGAACTTTCCTTCAAGTAAGACAACTGATCTCTCAAAAGTAATCCAGTAGAACTAACAAAAATATCGAGAAAACTCAGTTCAAGAAGTTCTAGGAAGTTGAAAATGTGGAAAAGATGGTACAATAACGTAAGAATCATTAAGAAGATATTATTTTTGGTCCCCTTACTATGTTACATGGTCATACAAATACTTATTTTTCCTATGCTAAGCAGGTACCAATTTCAAGACTAAATGATGTTGGAAAATATATAAGATAGCATCATAAGATATATTACTTGAAAATAAGCAGAAGATCATGACAAGAACCACCTGTATCCTAATGTAAGAATCATGAAAAAGATATTGTTCTTAAGCCCCACTATGCTACATGGAGTGAAATACCTGCATAATTTCCATAAGACCAACAGTCACTAGAATTTTCATCTTATTCCTTTCTCTACCGCTGGCAACTCATTAATCCATGGGATCCCTATTGCCTACTCATCAACCCATGGTTAACTTTATAATTAATTCTATTTCCTGATTTCATATTTTTTCTATTGGGTACTTTCTTATACAAAAACAACAAGCCTTTATCCCACTACGTGAGGTCGGCTACATGAATCCTTTTTCTCCATTGTGTCTTGTTAAGAGTCAAATCCTCATTTAATTTTAATAAAAAAATGTTATTTCTAATAATTTCTAATCAATTTTTTTATGTCTACATTTATCTTTCTTAACATAGGCCAAAACTAATACATATGCACTCCTAATCAGATCATCGAAAGGCTGACATTCTAATCTTATCTGCCACTAGAGTTACTCCAATCTTTTTCACGTATATACTCTTTTTGCATTCTATCTCAAAGAGTGAAACCACTCATCCACCTGAGCTGTTGAGCATCCTCATCTCTGCAACACTCGTTTCGCATTATGTGACCAAACCATTCTATTAGGCACTATCTTATGATTGCATAAATTTTGTACATGCTGAAATGAAGTACATTAAACCAATCATCTCAAATTCTTGCCATGGTACCAGAGCCCTAGGCTTTTTCTCTTCCTTGTATTTCCATTATTGAAGCATAGATCATTGCATTGTCACAATCAAGAGGGTTTATTGTTGCACTCTTCCTTCTCTCCTTATTTTCTATAACTGCAACTTTTATCACTGCATTGCTGCAAATATTTTTCATTGTTTTAACATTAATTATTGTATTATAGCAATATATTCCCATTAATATAGCCTTTATTGTTGCATTGTTGCATTTCTTTTCTTTTTTGCGAATAGAATCACAGTTTCCCACTCCATGAACAATAACAACACCCACATACCATTAGTCTTAGGTTCCCTTGAAATTTAGGAATGTAATCTAAATACAACGGGAGATTTGCGAAATATCCATTCCACACACCGATTGAATGTAAATAGCTATCTAAAATGGTCATTATTAGTTCACATGTTCTTAAAAGGAAGAAAAAAACTGAGCCATTTACAATGGAATAGAAAGAAAAAAAAAACTTTCTATAAGCACTTAAAAAACATAAATCTATAGCAAATACTTATACTCTAGCATTCTCAGGCATTACCTTCTCTTCTCATGCCATTAAAAATCTCAAAGATGCCTATGGTATCTCTTGGATCATTAATTCAAGTGCACTCTACAAACCATATGATGAACTCTTCTCTCATTATTTCATACACACATGTACAACCACAAGAAAATAACCTTAGCAATAGATCCTTGACAATCATGGCTAATCAAGTAGATGCTCTTATAAACAAATCTCTGATACTTCGAAATCACTTAAATAAAAAATTGCAATTATAGTGTTGTGTTTTGTCCTTCATCTTACATCTTTTAGGGACAATGAACGAGAAGGTTGATTAGGGTTGCTAAAGAAATGGATGGTCTCTACCACCTTAAGAAATCCAATGATGAAGAAAACTCCATACAACCTTCAAAACCATTTCTTCTCACAGCAACCCAAATATTGAATTAAAAAAAAAAACTAGCTTCAATACCTATGTTTTGGCCACCCATCATTCATTATTCTCAAAATTATGTTTCCTTTATTATTCAAATAAATTAATATCATATAATTTCATTGTGATGTTGATTGTGGGCTCCAAAAATTCGGCCCCGGCCTCCGCTCACTCTTCTTTTTATTCGGCGAGAGGAGTTTTAACGGAATAAGTTCCGGGGTAAATTTTGGAAGGCAGATGGGTTTGTAGATAAGACATTACCCAGAGATTTCGCCCTCATTTTGTGCGGACTTTATGATCTGAGTTCTAGTTTCCTATAGGCGCAAGCCCTTATAGTTAATTACCCCTCCCGATCACGATAGAGAACTTTCGATTAAGGCTAGTCGTCAATCAGAGACGTATAGAAATACGTGTTATCTGGCATATAGTAGCAGCAATGGGTATTGGTATTTGAGAACTGGATTTGGATTTGGGAATCTGGAGAGTTTGATATTTAAAATAGAAATTGCATCATCTTGTACTTAAAGCGGATGGTGGGGGAATGGATGATGGGCCCGATCAAGATCCCATGGTTCCGTCGTCCCGGGCCATCATGGTCCCTAGTCTACTTAGTCAGAGGAGGTAGTCGATCCAACCTGACAGAAGAATCCTTGTCGGCAGCCATGGGTTGCTTCGTCCAAGAGGACCTTGTAGACCTGGGTTAGATAATTGCCTAAGGGAACAAATTTGAATCCACCTTAGCTAACAGAGGGCTTTGTACCCTATCGATCATATCTTATTGATTCATATCTCAAGGATTTGATGTCATTAAGGAGCGTATTGGCTCTGGCCATAACCGGTATTTCATGGTGCCATTTGACGGCAAAACCACTCGGTTCAGAGAGCCCCGGGTCCTCATAACCGTTTATCCTGCGGTGCCATTTGACGGCAAAACCGCCGGTTATAGGACACGTACCACATCCTTACTGGCAGGAGATTGTTTGAGAATGAATCCTAGTTATATTTTCGACTATGCATTTAACTCAATGTGAGCTGAAGTAGTTTTTAACTTGTCCACCCTAACAAATTGTTGCGGATGGTGGATGGATTTTGCCTTAAGTGTTTTGATGATTGGTTTCAAATTTAAATATCTTAGACTTAGAGCTTGATGATTTTTTGAATTTTTGTGGAATTTGGATTTTGTAGAAATTTTAGGATATTTTGAAATATCTGAGACATTAACCCCTCTGGTTGAGATTCACATTCAACACGGCCATCATCGGGGTGTGGGGTCATTTCTCTTATGAACTAAACCTCGTCAACTCAGTCAAGCTATTGACTAAGGATCGGGTTCCTCGTAGGCTTTGTGTTTTTGTTTGTGAATTTTCTTTGTTGAAAGCCTTGAAGGCCTGATATGAATGTATGAAATAAATATTCCGGTCAAATTCGTGACCGCATATTTATCCAATGGTTCAAACCCTGTCTACTCCTATTTAGCTTACTGAGGAGGATCGGGTTTGGTAAGCTTTTTGTTTTTATTTAGTGAATTCTCTTGATTATAGGCCTTAAAGGCCTAATATGAATGCATTAAAATAAAAACACTGGTCCCCACAATCATGTGTATTTGTTTGAAGGTTTGAACCCTGTCGACTCCTATTGATCTGCATAGAAGGATCGGGTTCGAACTTGAATTCACTTATCGACCCGCGCAGCATCCCTAGACGTTAGTGTGTACCAATAACACGCTTGGCGGGGCCCATGCGGGTGTTGATTGTATACCCTCTTTTAGTGTACCTAAGTGTGTACAAACTACATTGTATGTGCGATGGTATTTTGGAATATTCGTGAAACACCTTCTGTCCACTTGTATAGAAGTTGCGGATCCGGTGGGGTGTTGTAGCAGCTTGTGGATTGAATTGTTTGCAGCTTTGTACAGGTATACTGTCGTGTACTACTCGTTGCTTTCTACAGATGGATCGTAGTGCACTAACTAATCTCCTGCCTTTTGTCTCGTAGGAGCTTACCCTTGTTGAAGGTCTTCTTTATTTGTTTGAGGGTAGCACTCTGAGGACATGACAGGTTCCTTAAGAAAGTTCGTAGTATTTGCATTCGTCGTAGTTATTTGACATTTTGCTTGTGGTCAATACATTTGGATGTATGACGGGTCTTCCTCAGCAGATCGTAAGTGCTCACATTCGTTATATTTATATAAAATCGTGTGCGTAGATGACATTTTGCATACATGACGGGTCTCCTATAACCCTGCAAAAATTTGCACTTATTGCTTGATGTATCTTGTATGCTTGAGTTCGGCACATGTCACCTATCAAATTCTTCAGCTCGTAGGCGACACTCTTTTCAATGGTTTTGCGTGATGTGCCTACTTTGATTAGGAGTCGTACAACCCGTGACACATAAAAGTGCACTATTTTGTCTCTTTTTTTAAGACATATTCACGAGATGTACGAGACGCCTAACTTTAACAGCAGGCATGCACGCTACTTAGAGCACCGGTGACTTACAATGTAACGGACATTTTTTATCTTCTCACAAAGGTGTT